TGACTTGATTGAATTGTTACCTACACCAGCTTTACAAACTGAACAGGGCCATCGTCCAGTAGCTGTGGATTGGATGGGTTCACCAGTGTTCATTGCTTTGGTTTTGCTGATGTTGACTTTGAATCCATGATCGGCCAGTCTGGTGTTCCAATCTTCAAACATCTGTGCTGCATTCTGCTCAGACGTGGCTGTTAAAACGATATCATCAGCATATATTAGATTCCAAATGTCACCAGTGCGTATCGGTTTTGTGATTTCTTCCATCACATTTATAAATAACAGTGGACTGAGAATCGAGCCTTGGTGAACTCCAACGCCGATGTCAAATGCATCTGTGTTTCCAACCGTTGTGCTGACAAGAGTCTTAGTATTCGTATACATTTCCATCACAAGTCGAAAAAGATATTCTGGAATGAGTTGCCGACGTAGACTCCACCTGATTGCTTCATGCTTTCTCAAGGTCTACAAAAATGTGTGATAGTTGTTGATGCTTTGCGAGGTACTTCTCTTGCAGTTGCCGAAGGATGTGAATTGCATCAATTGTTGATTTCCCCGCTAGGAAACCAAATTGATAATTTCCGATTGTGATGCACGACGTTAATCTTCTCTCAATGATTTTCTCGACAATTTTCAGGGAGTGTTCTAACAGACGTATACCCCGATATGATGAATCAATCAATCAAATCAAATCAATCAATCAGTCAATCAATCAATCAATCAATCAATTAGATTATAAAGCGCTATTTCCGCAATTTTCAACAGCGCTCCTCAGTGAATTTTGCAAACAGATGGGTCTTGAGATCCGCTCTGAACTTCGTAAGTAGTCAGAGAAGTAGGTAGAGAGTTCCAGAGAAGAGGGTCAGAAAAAGCAAAAGCAGATTTAGCAAAAGAGTGTTTAATACGAGTTAAGAAAAAGTGAGAACAAGAAGACAATCGTAAACGGGGCGTTTAGGTTCAATTAATATATCTGATATAGCATACATTGTTCTATACTTATAATTAAACCATCGTGCAATTAAGGCTGTACATGCACATTCCACACCACACAACTCACATACAAATTATGTATGCACCGTACCATACGCGTATAATGGTCAATGAGTTTCGGACAGACAGTATTCGAACCAAGCCATCACGTAATAGCAACGTGAAACATGGCACTTCTACCGACTGAGCTATATCGGTGACCATGTATATGTATGTATGGTGTTAGTTACACCGCGATATATTCGAAAACGGCTGAACCGATTCTCGTAATTTTTCATATATATTATTCGTCACATACGTAAATCTGTTCAAAAAGAGTTACATAGTTCCTAAACATAGTGCAAAACCACAACGATACTTACTTTGAAATGCTTTGAACTTTTCAATTGAACGTATTGCACTGTTTCAGAGAAACCTTTTTTTGCTTTATGGCAAGCCACATCTTCACATTTATCCATATTCAAAAAAAAATCACTTATGAATTTTCTTCCATTTTTTTTGTCAACTCTAGATGCAGCATATATAGAGAACTTGTACCCTTCGTCTTTATTTGTGAAATACTGATATGTCTGTAAAATTATCAGAACAACTTTTTGAATGTTCATTTTCAGAAATAAATTGAATTTATTTTAAATAAACAACGTTAAAATGTAAAAATTGTCTAAACGGACCAGATCCGGCAATCAGTTCAATAATAAATCAATCAAATGCAGATGCAAACTTTAACAACCGATAAAAGTATGCGATTATACATAAAATAACCACAACTAAAACTCTAATTCAAAATCACTATTTGTTGAATAAAATTATGTTAACTAGTAAACCATTCCAAACTGTTGGACCAACTACGGCAAAATTTCTGGTTACAACAACAGACTGTGTTTCAAGCACCAACAAAAAAATCTTGAATTTCTGAACGTAACTGACAACGTGGAAAAGGATTGATCTTATGATAGCACTTTTCCGACAAATAAGCTTGGATTGGGATTGTTCAAGCATTTGAACACTGTGATGGCATTTTAAACATAATTCTTTTTTACAGTAGGCTAATAAAAGTTGAATAGAATATGACTGATATGAACAAGCTTTGATCCATCTGAAACAATCTTGCTCGCACGGTTCTGAATTGACTACAAGCGACACATATAATTCTCGTGAAAACTCCGTTGAAAACAGTTACAGTAATCCAGTTACGAATAGATGAACGCGTGAATCAGATATTTTAATCAGGATTAGACTAAGCCATTACCGAATCCTAGAAAAATAACAAATCCGGGCCCTCATTTTTGACTACAAATTACTGTTGAGGAAAAGTCTATATTAAATGTCAACTACAGTTTAAGCTATTTGATGTTTTGACAATTAAATAGACGATTTTGTTATTCAGTTTTACAAATTACATAAATTTTTTCAATTTGTCACACAGAAACATTGCATCACACGCATTACTAATTGACATGAACGTCGACCTGTAAGCGTTTGCGTCCATATATAATCACCAGTTTCAAAACAGTTCCTAGAATGGGTACTGTAATTTTAAAATTCTTCAAACGTCGCATATGATACACATTACGTCACCAGAGCGTATCGGTTTTCTGATTTCTTCCATCACAGTTATAAATTTCCATCTAAGTTCACTATGACAAAGTGAATATTTCCCTATATAAATTAAATTGCACTAATGACGATTCATTCGGAATCGAAATATGGCCTTATTTGCAGCATGAAATCGGAAAATAAGTTTATTTTGAATTTTAATAAACTAAACGTTCTCCAAAAAAACTTTAATGAGAAAAATCGAAAAAACGAACTACAAAC